GGTTCACGAATAAAATTTTTTTAACAACTCTAATCATGTAGTCATAAGACAATAAATGTTTGAGCAAAATTAAAAAAATTATAATTTATATTAAAAGAGCATTTGAATCTAATTTAATAAGTTGTGCCGTAACTTTGAAGAGAGAAAAATCTCATTAAAACGCATTTAAATTTCAGCACTTAATTTTAAAAAAAATTACATAATTATCACACATTTGATGAGTAGTATTTTCAGTCAAAATGTGTCGAACACGATGAACACATCTTAATTCGTGTTTGATTTATTAATTTATCGAAACAAATTAACTAGCCGAAATTCTTAAAGAGTCAACACTAAGGGTCTGTTTGGCGCAGCTGTTGATTATTAATAATCTGCTGATAAGCAGATTATTCTGATAATCTGATAATCTGCAGATTATCAGAATAATCTGTCTTGTTGTTTGGGGCAGCTTATTCAAGATGGCTTATTGATGATTAAATGACATTCATGCCCCTTTGTAATAGAACTGTTTGGGGCAGCTTATTCAGAATAGCTTACTGATAGTACTGGATCATATGCAGAAACATGAAATCATCACAGATCATAAGTAGAAGATGTCATACATTACTCACACCCTCATGAGTACCAAGATAACTAAAAAAAGTACAAATACGAGTACAACTAGAATCAGAAATATTAAAATGTTTAATTTCAGACTCTGGCTACGTCTGTCCTCATCTGCTCTGTCAAAGTCAGAAAACACCGGATTCCCATGACTGCTGGCCGTGTCATATGAGGGACTGTCAGCCCACCGGAAGAACCCACAACGAGCTGAAACACCCTTGGCACAACCGTAGAACTGCCTCCCAAAGCTACGAGACTGACGCGATGTGAGCAACGGAGCCGGTAGACCACAATAACACAAAATACCTCTGTCTGTACTTGATATCCTAGCAGTCATGTTTGTATAACTGTGAAAAAAAAATATTAGTACTTATCCAAATAAAAGTAAATTTAACATTAATGTAGGAACAGAGAAAAGACTTGCTGGATTAGCTATCATATATAGCATCTGCTATAGACTCCCTCAGAGCAGCCATCTCAACTGCACCCTCACCATCCTGAGTTTCATATTCAATCGAGTCCATCTCATTATCAGCTAGAGATCCTGAAGGTTCTAGAGTATCAATAATTTCATCATCATCACTGATATTGAAGTCCGTATCTGAATGAGAGGGGTGACGTCGGATGAAGTTGTGAAGTGCCATGGTGGCCAACACAATATACACTTGTTTAGGAAAAGAATAGGATGGCATATCACGTAGAATTACCCATTTCTTCTTCCACACCCCGAAAGTTCTTTCAATAACCCCCCGTAAAGCGGAGTGTCGCTTGTTAAACATTTCTTTTTTGCCACGAATATTGCCACTTGCTCGCTCGAAATCAGGAATATGGTATCTTGTGTCTGGATATGGCTTTAG